ACACACACACACACACACACGCACACACACACACACACACACACGAGGTGCGTAGTACCTGAGGAATGACATCCAAAGTTGACCTCTGACCTGAAGACACAGGTACCCACACACACTCACACAAATTCTAAACAGGAGCTTGTTTTGGCATCACACACTAAAATATTGTAACCAAACAGAGATTAGCATGGTCCCTGTGAAAAGTTGGCACGTAACTTTATGGAGCATTCCATTATTTAAAGAAACAAACCTAGCTGGGTGGTAGTGCCTCATGCCTTTAAACTCAGCACACTGGAGGCAGAGGCAGGTGAATCTCTGAGTTTGAGATCAACCTGGTCTACAGAGCAAGTTCCAAGACAGCCAGGGCTACATAGTGAAACCCTGTCTTGAAAAAACAAAACAAACAAAAAATCTAAATGGAGTCAAAGTCCAGTTAATAGCTTTCTGAGAACACTGCAGAAACGAAAAAGAAACACTAGTAGAATACTCTTCACATTCTTGCTTTGGATTCAGCCTTCCTTGTCATAGACCACTTAGAAAGTGCTGAGTGCAGGGTTGTCACTACCAAGTAGAGGAGCACTCACCTGCCCTGGGTAAAGGCCATGTGTCTCGCTGGATGGGAACAGGAACATGTTAATGAACTCAATCAGGATGCTGGGGGCCTCTCTAGAGGTCTCTGCCGAGTATGCTAGCCACTTGTAGATGATCATGAAGATCAGGTACCCAAAGATGCAGAGCATGAACAGGATCTCAGGGACGGACACCAGGTAGATGTTGAACTTCTTCCTAAAATGCCTGCAAGAGGGATGGGTAAGGCTGTTGAAAGGCTGTTGCTACAGTGCCATGGGCCACTTCAGAACTCCACAGGTGTCTCTGCTACAGGTGTCGAGCCAGAGCTGCAGATCCCCTCACAGAGGAAAGAGTGAACTATGGAACCTCACACAAACATGTTGCACTTAAGTCTGGCTTCAAAGTATTAGAGGGTTTTTTTTGTTTTGTTTTTTGTTTTTTTTTTTAAGATTTAAAAAACTTGGGCTGGAGAGATGGCTCAGAGATTAAGAGCACTGGCTGTTCTTCCAGAGGTCCTGAGTTCAATTCCCAGCAACCACATGGTGGCTCACAACCATCTGTAGTGAGATATGGTGCCCTCTTCTGGCGTGCAGGAATATATGGAGGCAGAATGTTGTATACATAATAAAGAAATAAATCTTTAAAAAAAAAAAAAAAGATTTAAAAAACTTGTTTTAACAAAATCAATTTTTTGCCGGACAGTGGTGGTGCACGCCTTTGATCCCAGAACTCGGGAGGCAGAGGCAGGCAGATCTCTGTGAGTTTGAGACCAGCCTGGTCTACACGACCTAGTTCCAGGACAGCCTCCAAAGCCACAGAGAAACCCTGTCTCAGAAAAAAAAAAAAAAAAAAAAAAAAAAAAAAACAGAAAACAAAAAACAACTAAGCTGTCTCTCCAGGCCCCAATTTTAAAAATTATTTTCCATTATTTGTAAGTATGTTGGGGGCAGGGAGAGGGGTGACAGATTCACTTGATTGAAGGGTCAAAGGCAACAAATTTCCCTAGAGGTGGAATTACAGGTAGTTGAGCCACCCATCATGGGTGTTGAAAGCAGAACTTGGGTGCAGTCTTCTGGAAAAGCAGCACACATGTTATCCAGCCCTGGGCATCTCAAAGCACTCACCACCTTGGACAATGTGTTCATTGTCCCAGCTCTGTCATGACTTAAAGCAACTGAGTTACGTGATGCAAATCATGCTTGGTCATGAGAAACATGGTCAGCATGGAGAGGAAGTCTGCCGAGGTGCTGGCTCTCCCACAAAACAAATGGAGAGCCTTCTACTTTAGAACAGCAAAAATGTGGCAAAACCCCTTCTGGGAATCGGCCCTGCATCCATGCCACACATGCCTCCCCACTTGGACCGGAGCTCAGGCAGGCAGGCAAAGGTCCCTCTCCATTCTCTGCAGAAGCCTGGTGCCCAGGATAGCACCTGATCTGTAGTTATGTACTGAACAGATAAATCATTCATCTCCCATAACTCCAAAGTGAAATAATCAAAACAGCATCAACATCCTACCATGCACCATTAGATCAACTGCCCTCAGCCCAGTCAACAGCCTAGTATCAAGAAATAAAATTTAGGGGCTGGAGAGATGGCTCCGTGGTTGAGAGCACTGGCTGCTCTTCAAGAGGACCTGGGTTTAATTCCCAGCACTGACATGGTGGCTCACAACCATCATGTAGTTTCAGGGGCTCTGACGCCCTCTTTGGCCTCTACAGGCACCACACACTTACATGGCACCCAGATATACTTGCAGTTGAAACATCAACACATAAAAGAAATAAAACATAAGGCGTTGGTGAGATGGCTTAGGAGGTAAAGGCAGCTGCCACCAAGCCTAATAACCCGAGTTCATTCCTCAGAACCCACATGGTAGAAAAACGTAAAATTCTTCCACAAACTGTCCTCTGCTGTACATATTCTCACAAGTGCACATGTACACACACACATACTGTATTACATACGTTAAAATGTAAAGGGGGTGTTGATGGTGGAGAGATGACTCAGTGGGTAAAAGCATTTGCTGCCAAGCCTGATGACCTGAGTTCAAGCCCCAGGACCCACACATGGTGGAAGGACAAAAACAACCCCAAAAGTTGTCCCCTGACCTCCACACATGTACTGTGATGTGCACCATCTCCCTCCCCTCACCAAGTAAATGTAAGAAAAATGTGAGTAAATAAATAATAAAAACTTAGGAGTGACAAACTGTGTTTACAAGCACAGACTTCAGAACTGCTGAGCCAGTCATACTGGCTCACACCTGTAATCCCAACTCTTGGAAAGTGGAGGAGGAAC